CCCGTTATTTTGCTGCCCGCCGAACCCTTCCACGTGCCTCCCCCCACCCCGTCGTTCAAAACGCCAGTGGGTTGTGAGGCGATTTAAAGGGACGCGAGAGGCAGCCCACGACTTGTCTCTCTACCCCGCCCTGGGTCCCGTGATTGGGCAGGTGGCATGAGACTCGGGGCTATGGTAGCCGCCATCTGGGGTCGAGGTGGGTCGGCATCTGCGGAAGGGGGGCAGCGGAGCCCCGTCCTTGGGAGATGCAGGGACGCGCATCGCGTCCCACCAAAGTGCGCAATGACGGGCAGGGTTGCCTCGTGCCGCTTCCCCTCCCCACCCCTTAAAGCAAACCCATATTCGGCTGGCGTCGTCGGGTGATGCGCTCTGGGATTGGCAGGCTTGCTCTCGGGCGCCCGATGCTTTCCATAAGCTTCGGCTCAGTTTTTTTGCTGTTGCGAATTTACAGTGGCAGAAGTGACAGCAGGCTTGTGTGGGACGGACGGGGAGGGGAGGATTTGGCTCCGGCAGCCGCTGTGCCTCCTTGAAACACAGGGGAGGCGTTCTAGGTAGAGGGTTTTGGCTTTCTCCTGCTCGCCCACATGCTCTTGCTTGTCTTGTGTGAAGCTGTGTGACGGCTGGTGGCTGGTTTTATAGCAAACTTGCGTTTTCTCAGCTAATCGGTTCTGATGATGGCTGGTGCCCTTTCAAGAACCCACCTAAAGAATTATGACAGTGTATAATCCATCTGTCGGTTTGGCTCTTGTTGGGTGGTGTGTGTGTGTTTTAAACTTTGGGACGTGTGTTCACAGCAACTTTGTAGGATCTCAGTGTTGCTAGAAGACAAAATGGGAGTGGCATCCCACTACGAAAAGAGGCAGATTTTGTCTGGGATGTTCAATGCCAGTGTACAGGCTTGAATGATCCACATTGTTGTTGCAGTTGGCTCTTATCAGTCCAGTGGGTGATGGGGTGGGATCAGCATGCATTCATGTCCTGGTGTAGATCATCCGCAGACGTGGACACCTTCAAGTCATGTCACTGTATTCGAGATCACTGTTCTTTATCACCTTGTGTTTATTATAATGTTACCACCACAAAATGCTGTGTAGTTTATGTATTTAAAACATTTATAAACTGCCTCTTCAGAGGTGGCTCACAAAATTAACCAGGATAAATTCTAAAAAGATAAAATCATTGAAATTAACATCCATTAAACACCAGGCAATACAGCCCAGAAGTAATAAAATAATTTTTTTTTAAAGCATACAACAACTCAGAGCATTACACATGTGGTGGCCTAAATGGTTCTTTGGCTAAAAGCAGGTTGTAAAAACAGTTAAACAATTTAGAAGGTCAAACCCTGGATTAATAGTCTGGGTAAAAAAAATAACATTTTGGCCTGATAACTGAATAAAGGATAGGATAGGCACTAGGTGAACCTCAAGGGAAAGGGTTCAGGTGAGGTGCCATCACTGAACAGGCCCTGTGTCCGGTTTGTTAGTTACCTCACCCTTGCAGGTGAGGGCACAGAGGGCAGGAGTTGTAAGGAAGATCTTAAACACTGGGCTCAATCCAAGGCTGTTGGTTTTGATAGGAATGACTACATATGATTGCACTGTAAGGAGAAGCAGTATGAGCTAAGACTCACACAAGTCTTTTCCTAATGATCAAGCAGTCATTTTTAGGAGCTTTCAAATGCTGTTGTACCTTTTCAGATCTCCAGATAGCATTTTTAGGACAGGAGAGAGGAATGATAGTTGGCTGTTGTCTTGGGGAATTAAAACATTAGGATACTAGGTAAGGGCCTATGTTAGTGTACTAGAAATCTGGGGCTCAACAGTTTGTCATTGCTTTTAAGGGCTGTTAGTTGTACAGACCCCTGGAAGTACAAGTAAGCTAATAAGTGATGTGAAATTTAAACCTCTGAAATATAGATGTTTTAAAAATGGGATAGCTAGTTTATATTGGCTGATTTCAGTAAGTAGGGAATGTTAAATAAAACTTGTTTATGTCTCACCTCATTGGTATGCTGAAGATAGCTTAATAATACTTATACAAAAGTTTATTTTTTATTTTGGAATATTTATTTCCTGTCTTTCTGCTGAGTACACTGAATTGCAGTGTAGCTGACAACAGTCAGTCAGCAAGCACCAAAAACAATGGCAGCAAATCAGTGCAAGCTGATACTCAAACATAAGAATCACAGTCTGGCGGGGAGAAAAACTGATAGCTGGGTTTGGCCTTTTTTCTGCTTTTGCCGCTTGATGGTCTTCTGAGGCAAGTTCACCGATGGGGTAATAAATACAATCTTAATCCTAGATTTTCACTGTTTGAGTAGACAAACAAACAAACCAAAGAAACAAACCATTAAATAAGTCCTGTGGAGTTGGGGTTATAGTCCTCAGTAGATAGTTCAAAAATCAAAGCTTTGAAGCATAGCCTTTTTAACTTACAGATTTAAGAAAAGATAATTAGTAACACTTTTTTTTTCTTTTTCCAGGTTCTGCCCAGTTGCTGTTTGAAAAGTTCACAAGTATTCAAATAGACAATTGTAATTCAAGTGTCACTATACCTTGCATAATAACTAACCTACAACTAAATGATACTCGTGCAATGTTTGTTAAGTGGAAACTAGGAGGAAGTGAATTTTTTGCTTTTGATGGATTTGAACAGCCCCCGAAAACGCACAAAAACAGCAGTTTTCAGTCTGCCAAATTTGTGTCTCTGTCAAAGCTGTCCGCTGGCATTGCTTCACTCTCTCTTTCAAGGGAAGAGGCAATTCCAGGAAACTATAGCTGCGAAGTAACAGAATCAAACCGAGAAGGAATAACTACAGTTGAACTTAAGAAAACAGTAGGTAAGTTGTTGGTCTTATTTTTCTGTATTAAGTACTGGGACTGGTGCTTTTAAACTGTTGTCCATAAGTGATTTTGAGTCTGGTGAATAGGTAGCTGAGGACCACAAATTATGTCTTGATTCAATATCCAGCAATAATTTGTATGCTCTACCAACTCTTATGGTTCTGTTGAATATAGCAAAGAATTTAGCGAGGGGTTTTTGGGTGCCTCACAGGTGTCCCTACTTATGGCTGATTCAGATCTCAACATGACACCAAAAACTGTTTCTACCTGCTCTCCTTCCCCACAGAGGTGTTTTTTTTTGCATCACGGCTTCAAAAATGGAGACTGCTTTTTTGGTGGGGGTGGGGAGTATCCAGAGGATGCTGTGCTCATACCATCCTATTTCGAAGTTTACAGCATTGTGTGTGGATGGAAAGTGCATTTTCCTGCCCTGTAGTGATTCCTCCTTCATCATCCCAACTATCCTACCATTCAGACCGTCACAAGCACCATCTTTCCACCAGCTCCAGACAGTTTTTTGTCCCCGCTGTGCCACTAGGATGACTTTTCGGGGGCTTTTGAAAAAATTGGTAACAGGTGTTGGACCTGGTGTTTTCCATGGCAGCATTAGGACTCTCCCAGATAATATCAGGTCCCACACATCAAGCTGGCCACACACTGTATTTGATCTCTGGCATGGGGATGGATATAGGTCTGATTGCCATTGATGGAGTGCAATGGGCAGATCATTTGCCCTGAACGCCCAGCTGGGTGTCCTAGCCCCCACCTGTCTAGGCAGCAAACAGATTTATGCTTGCCCATGGGGAATAGTAGACTTATTCATAGATTCATAGAGTGTTAGAGTTGGAAGGGACCTTGCAGGTCATCTAGTCCAACTCCCTGCACTCTGCAGGAGCATAGCTGAAAGATAGCCCTACATACCTACAACATACCCGAAAGATGGTCGTCCAGCCTCTACTTGAAAACATCCAGCGAAGGAGCATCCACCACCTCCCAAGACTTGATTGGGTTCCAGAATACTCTGCAGGATCTGATGCCCGCAGTGATTCATTAGATGTGCTGCTAGAGGACTGGAATATCTGTCTCTGAAGCCATCAGTGAAATCACTCCCTGATGTCCTCTTTGCTCCCAGCCTAAACTATCCCCCCGGTACACCATGGAATGCAGGGGGATGAAACGGGAGCTTAGATGACTTGAGCAAGTTTGGTGTCAATCTTGTGACGAGCTGCAAGGACGTATTATAGGACATTTGTGAAATCCTATGAGATGGTGGTATAGGCTGCAAAAAAGGAATGTTATACAGTCTCCATTGCATCTGCTAGCTCTCGCTGAGCACAGTTGTTTAGAATAATTAGGTCTCTAACTTCTCTCACTGAGAGAACCCAAAACGGTAAAAAATTCGATATTAGCTGTGAGGCTTTTGCGAACTTTTTTGTGGATAAAATCTTGTTACTCTGCCACAATCTCCTTGCCAGCACTGATCCAGTATGTGAACTGGAGGCCCCTTGGCTCCTTTGTAGTCAGTTCTTGACAGCTTCAGCTGACTCCCTGGCCGATGTTGACAGGATTCTGGGTGCTGTTAGGCTGACCACTTGCCTCTTGGACCCGTGTCCATCATGGCTGGGGCCCCTGGTAGACATTATCAGTCTGTCCCTCGAGTCAGGGGTCTGTCTGGGGGGATTAAAAGAGGCTGTGGTAACACTGCTCTTGAAGAAACCATCTTTGGATCCTACAGTTCCTTTTGGTTACTGCCCAGTTTTGAATCTTTCATTTCTGGGGAAGGTAATTGAGACAGTGGTGGCAGAGCAGCTTCAGAATTTCTTGGAGGACACATTGACTTTGGACCTGTTCTAGTCTGGCTTCCGCCCTGACCATGGAATAGAGACAGCATTGGTCACCCTCAGAGATGATCTCCGCAGACAGCTGGATCGACGTGGGTCAGCACTGCTGTTATTGCTTGATCTGACAGTGGCGTTTGACATGGTCAACCATGATCTATTGACCCACTGCCTCATTGATGTAGGAGTTCGTGGGATGGCCTTAAAGTGGCTTACCTCATTTCTCCAAGGTCACGGAGAGAGGGTGTCACCTAGATACCCTTTGGTGTGTGGGGTCCCTCAAAGGACAATTCTCTCCCCAATGTTGTTTAACATCTATATGTGGTCCCTTGCCCTGCTGGTGAGGAGTTTCGGGCTGGGATGCCATTAGTACACTGTTGACACCCAGCTGTACCTGTTGATGCATGGCTGGCCAGACACCTCACACCTCCCCAGCAAGGGAGGCCGTGATGGGATGGTTAAAACAAAGCCGACTGAGACGAAATCTATCTAAAACAGAGGTTCTGTCTCTGGGTAAGGTGATTCAGGATTGGTGTGCCAACTCCTAGCTCTTGATGGCATGCTTTTAACACTGGCACTGACTGTCAAGAGCCTGGATGTGGTTCTGGATGCCTCCCTGTCAATGGCGGCCCAGATCACAAATGTTGCCAGTCTGGCATTCTTCCAGCTGCACCAGGTCAGGCAGCTGGCCCCCTTCCTGCCTTGTCCTGACCTAGCCACAGTAATCCATACAATGGTCACCTCTAGGCTACACTACTGTAACTCGCTCTATACAGGGCTACCCTTGAGTCTGACCCAGAAATTGCAACTGGTCCAGAATTCAGTGGCCCGGGTCTTCACTGGAACCCCATGGACAGCACACATCCAGCCAGTGCTCCGCCAGCTCCAGTGGCTCCGGGTGGAGTATTGGTTCAGGTTCAAGGTTTTGGTATTAACCTTTAAGGTCCTAAATGGCCAGGGATCTACGTATCTACGGGACTGCATCTCCTGGTATACCCCCCCAAAGAGCATTACGCTCTGCGGATAAGAACTTAGTGGTGATCCCTGGCCCAAAAGACATTCAGATGCCCTTGACCAGAGCCAGGGCCCCGACCTGGTGGGACGCTGCCAAATAGCATTCATGCACTGCGGAACCTTATGCAGTTCTGAAGGGCCTGTAAGGCAGAGATGTTCCGCCAGACCTAAGGTTGAGGACAGCGACAGTCTCCATCTTGCCTGGCACTCCCTTCCTTTCTTTCCCTCATGGGGTAATTGTATAATTGGTTGTTTTTAGTGTCATCTGAAATTGTTTCGAAATTGTCTTCAGTTTCTGTTTTAATTGTTTTATTGACTTATAAATGTGGTTTATATTGTTCAGTGCCCTGAGCCTTGTGTGTACAGGGGAGGGCGGTCTAAAAGTCAAATTTAATAAATAAATAATAAATGTATTAATGCATGATAATCTACAATACACCAGAATGTATTCCACTTCCTAATTTCAATGCAGTTACATTTACTATATTGTTATAGTGCTAGAGCGGAAAAGCCAAAGGGACAAAAGGTTAATCAGTCTTCAAAGGTTAACCAGTCCTCAAAAGAAGTCATGTGGTTGTGGTGGTTTTGCACAATGACCTACTTGCAGAGTACTCATGGGGATTCCTGTTGGGGCCCTTCCTTACCTTTGGTGCCTCAGAGGTTCCTTTTCTCTTGTGTACCCTTTGGAGGTTCCATTTTTGGAAATTTGTAGCTAAGTCAGTTTACTGTTCTAAAAAGCTTTAAAATCTCTGTGATTCTTTTTATAGTTCTCCTTTCTTTCCCATTTTTCCCATTTTTCTGAGTTTTTTAAATTTTTAAGTAATGCCTGCAGCCAGCCAACCAGCTGATATTGGAAGTGTATCTTGGAGGTTTGTGCTTGGGGTTTGTGTGTCAAAATATTCAGGATGGTATGGGACTGCTAGCAGAATTCAGAATTTTCCTACATTCTTCTCTTTTCTTTCTCCCCCCCCCACTTCTAACCACGTGGAAAAACTATTCCCGTGGTTGCAGGATCTACACACAGGAATGGCTGTGTGGATGGGGGGGGGGGGGGGGGGGCTGGAATTAGGAAGGGCAAGAGGTGAAATCTGTTGTCTTGCTTCTTTTGCAACCATAGATTTGCTGAGGAAAGAGGTTGACAACATCCCTTTGCGTTCTCCTCAGCCCACTGACCCACATAGCTCTTCATCTGCACAGATCTTGCAACTCTGGAAATGACCTTTCCAGGTGATGCAAGGGACTAAAATAATGAAAAGGAACTTGGGAAAACCTCTGTGTGCTTCTCTGAGCCGTTCTTGATCTTGAAGGTGATGCCTGTCTGTGGCCACAACTGCATCACAGCTTGAGACATAAGCACTAATCACTGACAGCAGCAATTCTGGGAACAGCTGGGCCACCTACCCATAATTTGAGGAGCTACACTGTATTCTTCAGAGGATTGCCCATATGAAGCAAAAAAAAAAAAAGTGGCAGAAACTTCCAGTGCAAGCCTGTTTTGCTGTATTCGCTCTGCAGGAAGACTCAGAGAGTTCTTCCTCCATGATCTCCATTAACATGGAAGATATACATTGTTCTACACTGAGACCTTCAGGTAAGATTAATATTAACAACATTGTCTGGTGCCATTCTCCATTTTTTAGTCCGCTACTCCTGCTCTTTTCTGCTAATAACTATTATCCATTTCCCTTTCAGCAACTGCCATGTCGATCTTGTTAGCAACCAGATCACCACTCCTACAGATGAGGCTGATGAGACAAGGATAGAGAAGGCACCTGGCCCTGGTATGTGATACATGGACTTTTCCTCTTGAGATCTGGGATGTGGTATTACCCATTCTTTTCTCAGCACCCCCTCCTTTGATCACAACAAAAGTCCTGCTTTCAGTCCTTCACTCGCTGGGTGAAGGCCTTACCTTGACCTCGTTGGCTTCCCCCTCCAGTTTTTTTTTTGGTAGCTTGTTTCAGCACTATAATAATTTATAGATAGATACAGTAGTACAATTGTTGTGGTTCCCACTTCCTATTTATCTGCTCTGCAACACCCCTGCAATATTGGCTAGGGTGTGGAATAGGCTTATAGTTAAGTCCCCCCCAGGCACAACCCTCATCACCTCTCACTACAGAACAATAATGACTTCAGTAGGA